AGGGGGCAGGGGGGAAGGGGGCACGGCCCACACGCATCCACCCAGCCCCTGGCTCAGCCGCCTCATGCCCCGCGGGTCACGCTGCACAGGGCCTGTTCCTCTGCCTCCTGCCCTTCCCTCCACGGCCCTCGGCGCCTGCTCCCCCCTCCCGTCTGCGCCTTGTCCCTCCGAGTGGGGCCACCTGGGTCCTGGGGTGAGTCACCCTGTGGCCTGGACTGGGCCCAGCAGGGGCCCAGGTACTTGATGGAGAGGGGTGGGGCCTGGCCTGAGGGTCAGTGGGGCCCCTGCTCTTACAGAGCATTTTGGAGGCCAAGGCCATTCACACCTCGATGACCCACTGGAAACACAAAGGCAAGCTGAGGCCTCACTGGAGTGTGGCTGCATTTTCCACCGCCAGGGCCACTCCCCCACCCTCCAAATGACAGGCTGACCACAAACGAGGCCTGGGGAGCCCAGGGCACCCGATCAGACGCACCTTGGGACCCGTTTTCTCCATGTAGCCTTCCTTCAGGTAGTTCCTGGTCAGCTTCGGCACCAGCTAGGGTGGAGAACAGGCTCAGCCGCCCAGGCCGGGCGCCCCGCTCCCGCTGTACCCCACGCACCCAAGCCCCTCTCCCTGCAGCTCAGGTCAGGTGCCCCAGATTAAAGGAGGGCCGCTGTGGTCACTTCGGGGGGCCACAGGCGTCAAGGGAAGGGTCCTCTGGGGTCCATGTGGGCCTTGGTCAGCCCCCAGCCCCCCCCCGGGGCAACGGCGGCAGCAGCCACTCACGTCCAGGTCGCTGGCCCCCGGGAAGGCCACCTGCAGGTAATGGAAGCGGGCGGCCCGGAGCGCGTTGAACCAGTCGGCCATCTCCTGGGGGCAGAGGCTGGGCGTGGGCTGCGGCCTTGGGGCTGGGCGCCTGCCCCCCGGCCCGTCCTGGGGCCTGTCCACGCCCACAGCCTCCCTCCTGCCCTCTGCCCCCTGAAGGAAACTTCTCCCACGGGAGAGGGAACGAAGCACAGACACAGGAAGGAGCCACTGACGTTAGAGAGAAGACGCTACAATCGGGGAACAAGAACACGTTCTTCGAAAAAGGAACCTGCCGAGAACCAGAGCAGCTCTGCAGAGCGCGAGCGAGAACGGAAACAAGGCTCGGAGACAAGCTTGAAGGAATTTCCCAGAAAGCAGAGGAAAAGGCGGAAGCGAGAGGTGGGCAGGCGCCAGGGGGCCCAGCCCTGAATCGGGCTCCAGAGAGCGGAACCGGGAAGGTGGAGGCCGCCGCTCAGGAGCAGTTCAAGGAAACGGCCTGAGCTACCGGCCGGGAAGGACTCACGAGCTCCCCGCAGAGGACAGGCCCGGCCCGAGCGCGCTGTGCGGGAGGACAGGCCCCGCCCGGGTCCAGGGGTCCGTGCGGCCGCGCCTTCCGAGCCCTGAAGGACCAGCTCCAACCCGGAGTCCTGGATCCAGCCACGGAACCGGGCGGCGGGCAGACTCTCAAACGGGCCAGGTTCTCTTTCTGGGAAGCTACCGAGGGTTGTGCCCCCAGAGGAGGGAGCAAACCCAGAAAGACTAGGGGTCCGGAAACGGAAGCTGTCCAGGAGTGAGAGGCCCGGCTGCCTGGGTGCCCGACCGCCCAAGGCCTTAGATCATCGGGGGTGGGGGTGGTAATAAGGGCACAGGTGGCCAGGTGGGCGAGCGGAAGGCAGCTGTCAGCTCCAGGGAAAATAAAACGTCTCGCAGGAAGAAGTAACTGGTTTGCCCTCCCGCCCAGGTCCTACAGCACCTACGCGGTCACGCTGATGTGAACGCTGAACCCAGAGGTGGGGGGGCTGCAGTGTACGGGTGCGGTTNTGCACTCAGACACCTGGACATGTGAGGCAGGTAGGGCTGAGCCAGCAGAACAGGTGTGTCCCCTCGGCCAAGGCCTCAGGGGGAGGGGCGGTTGGCCCGGCTCCAGAAAACTTTGCTCTTCCCAGGGCACAGCCCAGCAGAGAGGCGGCCGGAGATTCCGTGGTGACAGGCATCGGTTGGCTGTGCCAGCTCAGGTGGGGGCAGGCCTGGTGCCCACGACAGTTTCTCATCTCCGGGGGCTGCTTCCCCCACACAGCACCTGTCTCGTGGGGCTGCCCAGGTCCCCTCGTCCTGCTCCACAGGTGTCACTTCCACACGCTACGAAGTCTGGTGTTTGTTTATCCCGTCTCCCTGCTGAGGAGGCAGGACCAACGCATTCCCAGCACTCAGTGTCCCTGGCACCGGCTAAGTGAGGCGGGCACCTTCTCCTCTCTCCCCACGGCCTTCCTCTTAGGAGGACACCCTGATAGCACAGGGCCATGGCCGGGCTCTGCCCTCAGCCCCACCCCCAGCCCTGGCCCCAGCCCAGGGCCCTTCCAGCACATTCTGTGCTCTCCCCTGCACCTTCATTCCACCTCCTGCTCTGCTGGCTCACTCCCATCAGTGCCCACACATGCTGCCAGGTTTTAAAGTCCAGCTCTGACCCCATGTCCCCCTTCCAGCCACCTCCCCATGCACACCTCCATGTCCCCTCTCTTGGCCTCCAGTGCTGGCCTGGTGCCTCCTGCTGGTGGTCCTCCCACCTGCCCCACCATCCAGGCTCCAGGCACCCTCCCCCGCGGGACACCTTCCCTTGCATTTCATCTGGGCTCCTGGCTGTAAAAACTATTTTGGGGCGATATCCAGGTACGATCACATAAGATCAGGAATGTTCTAACCACCACTGAATTGTTCCCCTTCAACAGTCAATTTTGTTATGTGACTTTCCCATCAAGTAAGAAAAAAATTAAAGCATTTATGCACCTTTGGCATTTTCTGCCTGGTTTCCACCTTGGGTCGTCGCAGGTGTCTGGCTCCCACAGGCACGTCAGCACAGCCAGGCTGCCATGTGCCACCTCTGCGAAGTGTCTGCGCCCAGCCCGACACTGACCCTGGCTCAATGCCATCCATCCCTGAGCCTCCAAACTGTCCTTGACCCCCTGGACTGAGTGGCCATCCCAAAGAGGACTCTGGGAAGGAGGCAGAGCAGGAAGCCGGGGAGTCTGTCTCCCCACCTGGACCCCCACTGCAGGGCAGGCTCTGCGGGACCCGCTCTGGCATCGGGAGTCGGCTCAAGTCACAGGGAAGAACACCCAGGGGAGGGCTGGACAGCGACCCGTGGAAATGCTGGGCAGTCTCCGCTCAGCACCATGGCAGCTGCCCAGCCCTGACCCGGCCCTGCAGGCAGCTGACGGGCACCCGGAGCCACCGGCCCACGGCCCGGCTGGCAGGAGCGGGTGGGGGGCAAGGACCCGTCCTCAGACATGGCCTGTGCTCTGACCACTGGGCCGCTTCTGGTCACAGGTGCAGCCAAAGTGACTTCCAAGGATGGGAAGGGCAGGCGCCCCCCCTTCATGTTTCCCTTCTCCCCTTTGGGGAGCCAGACAAGAAAGACCAGGACGTTCAAGACACGCTGCATATTCGGGGGAATTAGAAAGTGACCACAGGTGCCCAGAAAAGGCTCGGAAAAGACCCAAGACGACTAAAGGACTGAAGAGCTCCCCCCTCACCCGGCCGGCGAGCACCTTCCCGTCCTCGTGGTAGATGAAGATGTTGCGGGTGCTGTTGTCCTTCAGGTAGGTGACCTGCAGGCCGTGAGGGTGGCCGATCTTGGCTGGCTGGAAGGTGGCGTTCAGATGCTCAATCTTCATGACGGCCTTGGGCTCCTTGGCCTGGAAGAAGGCCGAGCCCTAGCGTCAGGCGGGCAGGGCGTCTCCACACTCGGGGGCGGCAGGGTGGGCTGCGGGAGCCGCCGCAGGCCTGCAGGTGGCTTTCGGGCAGGCATCCCCTCTGGGCCTGGGTTTCCTAGTCTGTGAGTCTAGGGTAACAGCACCCCCTTTGCAAGGCATGGCAGGCACTGGACACCTGGGCACCCGTCCGCTGCCCCGCCACACGAGGCTCCTGATCTGCCCCCGCCCAGTGCTGGGGCGCCCCTTGCCCTGCACCAAGCAGGGGGGAGAGGCTGGGGCCACAAAAATCCCAGTTACCCGCACTGCGGGTGATGTCTGACCTGGAGCTGGGCTGGGGAGGCTCTGCCAGCTGCAGGGCCTCCGGGACCCTCACCTCCTCTCCAAGGGTTGCCGGGGGGACCCAGGGTCACCCCAACATGTGTGTGCTTGTCGCTCATGCCTGGGAGTGCCTGCCAGGGAAGGGCTGGCATCTCCTTTCCAGCATCACCAGGCCTGGCTCCAGCAAGTGACTGAGACCCAGAGTTGGGTGGGGGTGTCCCCATGGGAGTGTCCCCTGGGGAGACATGTCCCTAAGGCAGAGGGAAGTGTGGTTCCCTAGAATTCCATGAGGGCAGCTCAGCTGCCAAAGTCCAGCCACCACAGGCCCCCAAAGGGGAGGCTGATGCTGCCCCGGTGGACACCCCTCCCCACCCACTCACATCATTCCTGTTGAAATACTTCAGGGCTCCCTCACGTTCGGTCAGCACAAACTTCCGGCTTAAAAACTGCCCGTTGTCCCGGCCGCGCTTCCAGAGAAAACCCTCTCGGTATCCTGGGGAGGGAAGGACGGGGGTCAGAGGGCAGAGGGGACATGGGGTCAGACAGTCACAGCAGACCAGGACTGGAGGCCACCACTTGGCTGTGCCCAGCCCCCAGGTGGACGCTAGGCTCCAGGGGACCCACTGGCTGTGTGGGGAGGAGAGGGTCTGAGTCTGCCCTGGCCCAGGGCCATCTGCCCAAAGCCCACAGGCACTGGGACCCCAGGCTGCCCACCCGATCAGTGTCCTATCCTTTTGGACTTGTGACAAGCACGCGGAGCTGGGTGCCTGCCCTGTCACAGGCCCGAGCGTTCTTCTGAGTCCACACCTGTGGGACCACCTGTGGGGGCAGAAGAGCAGAGCAAGGTGTCTGCTGCTGAGCCCCTGCACCTGGGAAGGTCGAGTCACATGGCAAATTGGACTTGGCAGGTGTGGGAAAGGGCCTTGGGGTGTGCAAGTGTCCTGGATGTCCCTGTGTCCCTTGGCATGCGGCCAAGGTCATCACAGGGTCCTTAGGAGGGAGGCTGAGAAGTAGCCACAGAAACTGGTGCAATGTGGCCTTGACCAAGGACGCCCCACCCTGGAGCGGAAGGGCACGGAGGAGCCTGCCCCGCCCACACCTCGATGCCACCCCAGACTCATGGCGCTCTGACGGCAGGACCACAGGACACGGTTTATTCCTGGGAAGGCACCGAGTATGCGCTGTTCCCGCAGAGCAGAGGAGACAGTGCCCCCCGTGGGCACTGCCAGAGCCCCCATCAGCCCTTTTCCTTCCTGCAGCCCTGATCAGGGAGGAGGGTCACCTGTGCCGCCTGATCAGCGGTTCGTTCCTTTTTATCGTGACGGGGCCGGGGACACTGTGGCCTTGACCAGGCCCAGAGGACATCATGAGCAGCTTTGCTGGGCCCGCTGTGACCATGTCTTCCACGGGTACATCCAGGTGGAACCGCTGGTCACACGGTCAGGGCTTGTGGGCTCGGTGGGAACCCAGCTGTCCCTCTGCTTGAGGCTGTGGCTTCAGCACCAGCTCTGGGGTCCGTGGCAGGAGGTGGTGTCTGGACCGGGTGCTATTGTCGCCAGCGTCAGGGGTGGCCGCTGCCCATCGTGACTTGGCAGCCCCCAGACCTTGATACCAGTATTTCAGATTCCACCCCCCAACTGCTGCCCAGCAGCCCCTCCTGAACCCGGAGATGGGCTATTTTCTCTAGAGGCAGTGGCCATAAAAAGGAGCAGCCTGGTGTCAGGAGGGGGCAGCTGGTGTTTCTTGGGACAGAAGGGGCCTGCTCCCTTCCCCGTGACAAGGAGGGCCCCTCCTCTTTGAGCCTATGGGACGGCCACCCTGCCCCCAGCCCACACAGCGACGCCAGGGGGCACCTCCCTTCCGTCGGCACCGGGGAACAGGACCACCACTGTGTCCCCGAGCCCAGACAGGGCCCCACCCAAACGTGTGTGTTGACTGACACAAGCAGCACTCATCCCAGAGAAAAGTCCACAGGCCTTCGGGTCAAGTGCCCAGGCGAGGCCCCTTCACGCAGGCTGGAGAGACACCATCGGCCAGGACTGTGCCCCATCCCGATGAACGTCACCCGGGAGGAGGCCCCGCCCAGCCCCTGACACACATCATCTCATCTAATCCCCAGAAGGACCCTCCCAGGCACTTCCTGTTCTTATCCCCATTGTACAGAAGAGAAGACTGAGGCATAAAGACTCAGTCCCGGTCCAGGGCCACCTCACCAGCTGGAGCCCTCGGCCGCCCGCCCTGCCTGCAGGGACCAGCAGGTGGCAGCAGAGCCCAGGACACGCAGGAGGCGGGGAGGGAAGGGGTGAGGCCCTGTGACCCCACCCCCTCGGTCAGCGGTCAGTGGTGCTAACACAGCCGTCCAGAGACAACCGCGGGACCGAGAGAAGGCTCCTCCCGGCCTGTCCGGGTCACCAGCCAAGTGCTTCCCGCCAGCGAGCCGCCTGGACGACCAATTCCAGGCACCTTGGCGGCAGCAGCAGTATTTTCGGACGGTGCTGGCCAGGGTCCCGGACTCGGCCCTGGCGCTGGACAGCGACTTGGCCCTCAGCCCGAAGTGTCACCTCTTAGCCTCCAGGTCCCCGGGCCATGGACACCTGCCTGTGCCCGGGCTCACCAGTCTAGGCGCTGCGGGCTCCAGGCCCGGGCGCGTGCAGCCGTGTGTGGTGCCCAGAGACGGCCCCGCCGGGAGGTTTGCTGCTTGGCTCCCGCAGCTGTGGCCGTGCCCCACGAGGGGCCTCACCGGACTGCACCCAGGGGACACTCCCCTCGTGCACCCATTCATTCAACAGCAGCAGCACCCAACCAGTAGCTGCCAGGAGGGTCCGCTGGATGTGGGGCTGTAGCAGGGGGCCAGGGGCAGGGCCCTGACCCGTGGGTTCATAACTGGACCACTGAGCTGTGTCCCCATTTTGTGCACAAGGAATCCAGGGCCCAAGACATTGCCTGACCTCTGCAAGGTCACAGAGCAGCCAGCAGGGAACTGGGGCCCAAGTCCTGTTCCCAGGAGGGAGGCAGCCGATGGTGAGGCTGGGGGGCTGGCCAGAGGCTGGCCTGGGAGCTCCCGGGGTCACCGTTACCCCCGTATCCCCCAGCACAGGCTGCACCCGGACGGGCTTGCTGACTTCTGCAGAACGCCCTCCCATGGGCACCAGACCTGTGGATACCCCACCCAGCTGTCTGGGCACCTGGCAGAGCTGGGGTGGGGCCACCCCCTTGGGGGCCACAGTAACCCAAGATCATCCCCCCTCCCCATCCACATGCCCCAAACCCTGAGGTCCACACATGGGCCCCAACACAGGACCAGCAAATCCCAGCTCCCACGCAGAACATGCTGCCAGGAAGTGGGACACATGGGCGGCGAGTCCCGTGGGGAGCCTGCCTGGATCACAGGGGCAGAGCTGGCCCACCTGCGTCCCAGCTGAACTTCACAAACATGTCGCTCAGCCCCCACCAGCAACCCCGGGGATGCTGAGGGCCCACTGTGTGCTGCACTGACTCCACTTAACATTTCCAACCACCCACTGGACACCACAGCCCCACTACACAGACGGGGGCACAGGGCAGGCTCTGCCCCTCCCTCAGGCAGACCCTGGCTCCACTGCTCCCCTAGGGCCCCCCTGTGACATTCAGGACCGGGGGGGGGGCAGCCGGGACCTCCTGCTCTGAACAGCTAGGCAGCTCATGGGGGCAGTAAGGAGGCAGGGAAATGGGGGTGAGCCCCCAGGGGAGCAGCGGGGGTCCATGGCCTGGGCGGGAAATAGTGTGTCTGTCAGTGACTGGGGGCGGCCTGGCCCTCTGGACAACAGGGGGCATTGTCCACAGATGAAAGGCTGCCATTGAGGCTCTGGCTGGAGGCGGGACCGGTGTGGGGAGGGAGCCGAGAGCAACTGTTACCAGGGTCACCCCAGCTGGCAGGGGCCTCAGAGGCTGGCCCAGGCACCGGCCACACACCCATGACCTTGGCCGAGCGGCGATGGGGTGTGTCAGGCTGGCACCTGCTGTCCGGGTCCACCTGGAACCTGTGCCCTTGCCACACCCCTTGCGCCCTGACACTAGGTCCTGCCCAGCCTGTCAGCTACCGTGTAGCTACGAGAGGGAGAGGGTGGTGGCTCCATGCCTCCCCCCCACTCCGTCCTACTCCCAGAGGTGCCACCAGCAGTCCCTGGCCCCCCAGATTCTCCACCCAGCCTGCGTCTCACGACCCTGACGCTCTTGAAGGCTCTGGTCGGGTGTCTGTCCAGTGTCCCTCAGACTGTTTCTGGTGCATGTCATCAATGCCCGGGTGGTGATGCCCGGGGTGGTCACCCAGGGATGGGGGGTCTGCCGGGAAGTCAGCACCTTGGGACCACGCCCTTGGATGCCAGGGGCCCTGCAGGTCTTGTCCGCGAGGTGTCCCTGGTTCCACGTGGTCTCCACGTCTACATTTCCTCCGAGCTCCTGGGTTTCTTCTCTAACCCTCTCCCCCTCTCCCCTCCTCACCGACTGGTTCGTTCTTTGTTTACGTCTCTGGGCCACGGAAGTTTACGTCACCCTGTGGGTCCAGATGTGGCCATGCCATTATTCATCTTGTTGGTCAAACTGTCTGGCTGCGGTCACCAGGAGCCCCTCCAGCCACCAGACTATATGTAGAACTGTCCCCCGTGGTTCCTGGGCTTGGGTCTGGGTTCATCTGAGCCCCAGCAAGTGACCCACTGCCCCCACTCCAGCACCCCTGGGACACAGCAGGACTGAGTGTGTGGGTTCCTCACACCAGGTCGCAGCAGCCCTGTGAGCCGGGCGCCAGGTCAGGCCCAGGCCTCACCTCGATTTCGGAGCCGGCCTTTCCCAAGCCCCGAGTTCCCCTTTCTCCTCTGTGGGGACTTCTGCATTCAGCGGTGAGAGTGTTCTTGGGGCAAATCCAGGGCAGGAAGTGCCCACGGGAATCCCCATGCTCCTCACAGGCCTGGGAGCAGCCCTCGCAGGACGCCCACCCGACGCCCACACACTGCAAGGCAGTCCCTCATCTCCCGGCACCTGAAAGGGATGGACCAGAGGGGTTTGCTGCCCTGCACACACCACCCCACTTCTGGGACCCAGGCCCACTTTCTATCGTGAGAACCGTTCTCCTGTCCAAAGGCACATGTAACATCATAGCGACTGAGTCACACGCCCGCCCCGACCAGTCGGAACCAGAGACGAGACCTCCTCCCACTCCGACCGTCACACGGCCCCTCTGCTCACAGAACCCGCACAGGAGGGTGCAGAGTCTGGACCCGCGGGTGCCGCCCAGAGGGCTGGTTCTGACCCAGGGAGGCAGAACCAGGAGGAAGCCCTGAAGCTGAGCCTGACACTACTGACGCCTGGATCAAGCTGTGCCTGAAGGCAGCCCGATTATGTCAGACAAGCCATTTCCTCTGTTCTTTGTACCCGAGTTGGATCTGTCACCACCAGAGTGTCCTAATGTGAAAACAGACACAAAAATTCAGGGCCGCGCTTATGTCGGCCCCGCTCGCACCCACCCTGAAATGAGGCCACACACTATATTGTCATCGACCGCGAAGACGCCGACACCAGGAGACAGAGGAGCTCGGCTGAGCCTGCCTGAGGTTCTAGGGCAAGCAGGAAGGGGTTCAGGCCAGAACAGAGCGTGAAAGGGTCCCAGGAGCTAAACAGGCACA